AGCTTCTCCTTCTTCTTAGGGACACGCAGGGAGCAGAAGCAATTTCCTGGTGTAATGGTTTATCACCTAATCAGCACCCAGGGATTAGTGCTCCCGAAGAGGGATGTTATCACATCCTGTATTTCTCTTTGGCATTCCCTTTCAGAATGCAGATGTGCTAAATGGAAAAAAACCCTACAATATTTATCAACCTCTATCTTCAAGTAAAAGGCAAGACTTTCAGATGTATTCCCAGCATTGTAATAAAAACACATTAAAACCATAATTGTTGCAGGTTTCCTACTTGCAGTAAACTCAAAATTTTATATTCTTTTCAAGTTTATCTGTAATATATAGGTTTATATATTCTAAAGAACTTAGGTTTGTTAAATTACTGCATACACCTTCCTGCTGCTGAACAACAGCACAGATTGTCTGTGTCTTCAGCAGAACTGGTTTGTCTTAGTAAAGAGACTTAGAAGTGAAAAACTTTCCAAGTTAACCAGAATTAAGAAAGTGCTTTTGAAAACAAAGAGGGAAAAAAAGACCAACCCTATTAGTTTATGATGTTTCCAAGTCTACTACTCTGTGCAGCCTAAGGAAGCTGTAATGGAATAAGGGAACAGAGATCTTACAGCCATGTTATCCAGAAGTGTATGGAAAACCTTCACAGAGAGTCCCTGTATGGCTGCTTTAAAGACTTGGTGACAGAAGAGCAACATAGGACTGAACCAAGACAGAGAAATATCCAATTAAAGTCAAATTACAAGTTATTTTATTTTCAGATGTGGCTGCAGATTGTATGCTGCTCACCATCCTGGGGTTCAGAATGTCCTGCAATTATGAAAAGGTGAAGCACAAACACTTCTTATGCACCTATATTGCATTACCAACTCAATTTAAATCTCTGAAGTATTCATTAGAGTCAAGAGCATATCCAACCACAAATTTATCTGGAATTTCAAAGCCTGTATCTATAAGAAAATACAGTTCTTTTTATACTTCAGTGGTGTAAGCAGCTTTTAAGTGCACAGTTGATATTCAACACATACTTGAGCTAAGAATAATAGGCATCATCTCTTTCAGGGTGCTTCCTTAAGATCCTGAGCTGCAAATTGATGACAGAGGTTAGAATCCAAACCATTCCCATGAGTCAGTAATATAATTAAGGTGTTAAGAGAATGATTCTTATTGACAAAATAATTGTTTAAAACCTAGTTATGAGTTAGCCCGGGGAGAGGAGAAAAGGAGTGAGATTTTACTTGATTGAAAGTAGATCAAGTTTGATTCAGTAGGACTTTTCCGTTTGGAAACAAGGCAAGTTTAATAATACGGAGTCAAAACAAATGCCCTCTAGGGTCAAAGCAAAGCAAAACACAGTTAAGGTTTGATTCTGTTTCTGCTATAGTTAAATTAAATAGCTAAATAGGTAAATTTGTATATCAAATAA